TGCGCAGTACCATGGTGAATGACAGACTGTCTGCTTTAGCAGTGATATCCATTGAAAATAAAATGATAACAGAAATAAAGGATTTTAATGAAATAGTAATAAACAATTTTGCTACATCGAAGAGCAGACACGCCGACTTTATTTTCAATTAATACTGGTCCATCACCACCAACACTACTACCATGCCCTGGGAATTCGTGGACATCAACTACAACTCATACCTGAGGTAGGTCAAATTTGTGTATCCTACTGTTGTGTGAGGCTTGCAGTCCCTCCATTTTATTTTTCACGAGCCGCCACTGTAACCCACCATAAAACCCCATACCCTACCATAAAACTGCTCTACAACCCCTTAACCTATTCTACAACCCCTTAACCTATTCTACAACCCCCTTAAACTACCCCCAAAAAAACTTAATCAGTATGCCATCAGCCATAAGGGTAGACGTCTGTTGGTCAGGTTGATCTGCGACACACAGGTAATTACAGAGAGAGGAGGAGGTAGTATGGGGGGTGAACACCACCACCTGGGGGCGTCACCATCATTAGGTGTGTAACTCAGGTGAGGTGAAGCGGCCTACCTTCCCTCCCTTCCTCCCTCTAACTTTCCCTTTTTTCTTTCCCCCTCTCTTTCCCTCCCTCTCTCCACTTCTCTCTTTCTCCTTCCCTACATCTCCTTCACAAGATATTGAACATTGAACATTGAACCTAACCTAACCTAACCAGTGGTCGGTCTTGTGTTGATTTTCATATTGCACGTTGCAGGGAGGGGACAGGGGGGGGGAGACTAGGAAGAATAGCGTTTACTGAAGACTCACAATAACTTGACCCACCCAGAGGTTACCAGGAGCCTATGATACGCCCTTAGAGGTGGGTGGTGGTGTAGTGGGTGGTGGTAATGTGTTGAGTGGTTGGGTAGTGGGTGGTGGTGAGGAGGAAGGATGCTGGGTGGTGGAAATGATGGGTAAACGAAGGAAGGTGGTTAGAAAGAAGGAATGGGGAAAGGAAGAAGAGTAGAGACTGGAAGAGGATAGGCTTGGTACGGGAGGAAGGGTGGTGAGGGAGGGAAGGAGTGGTACGGGAGGAAGGGTGGTGAGGGAGGGAGTGGGTACGGGAGGAAGAAGGTGGTGAGGAAGAGCAGTACAGGAGGAAGGGTGGTGAGGAGGGAAGGAGTGGTACAGAGAGGAAGGGGTGGTGAGGGAGGGAGGGAGTGTGTAGTGTGGAGATGATGGCTGGCTGGGGTAGGAAGGGAGGCAGGACTGTGGTGAGGGCAGTGGCCAGGGTCCTGAGCCTCAGGGGGTCCTGTGTTGACACCACAACCAGTTGGCCACACACAACCTCCCCAACCAGTTAATGCGGGATGCTGCCCACACATGTCTCCTGCTGGGAGGGGAAGGAGGGGATAGATGGTGTGTTGGGGGTGGGGGGAGGAGGAGGAGGGAGTGCATGGGGTAGTTGAGGGGAGGAGAAGGGGGATACAGGGTGTGGTGGAGGGGAAGTGGAGGTGCAGTGAGGTGGAGGAAAGGGGTGCAGATGTGGTCTTTGGAATGACGGTTTACACACACACACATTCTGGGAGGCATCTGATGGATGTCCACCATTGTATCTATTATTTCCGAGTTTCTTTTAAATGTACCGGTAACTGTTGTCAAAAATGGTTTCTTACCCCGTGTGTCAGTACACCTGCTTTACGCCCACAGGTCAGAAATTCCCAGCAGCATGGCAGCCCCGACCTCCTCCTCTGGGAGTGCCATCATCACGGGGTCAAGCTACCTGCCACTCCTGCAGCAGCAGCCGTCCGCCACCACAACCTCCAGGCGGCCGCCCGGAACCTCCACCTGGTCCCTCACCTACAATCACACACTCACCCACCACAGCTACAACCACACCGTCGCCTGGCACCGAGGACCAGGCCTCCTGCTGTCACTCAGGTCAGCATTACTCCTCACTGTACAATTACTATGTGAATATAATCAACGTCTCTTCAGTTTCTCTGAATAGATGATGACGCAACATAATGAAACACGTTGATACTTAGTAATATTTGTGTACTCATGTTATTTTGACATTTTCCTACTTGTAACTGTGTCTCAACCTCTATTACTGCGTCTGAATCAGTGAATGGTAAACACTTAATGTGAATTAACTGCGAGATGAAAGTAACCAGAAAGTACTCGTTATTAGAGGCCAGAATATATTATGTATACCACCATCTTCCTCACCACTCTTAAGACACACACTCCCTCACTGGCACCTACTCCTAGTTGTCTTAGTCTTGGTAATTAATTTCTACAAAGATCACAGGCTGACCGATGATACGCCCCAATTACGCCACTCGACTACTGTCAGTCACTGTCTAGCGTATAACTGCCCAGGACTTCTTATGGGCCATGAGGGAGGAATCTCTCTCTCTGGCGAACAACTATCTAGGACCTTAATGAAAAAACTCTCTCTCTCTCTCTCTCTCTCTCTCTCTCTCTCTCTCTCTCTCTCTCTCTCTCTCTCTCAGCAGGCCGTTAACGCAGGAATTCTTCAGTCGCCAGGGCGCCAGGACCCACCAGTCACTGTAATTGGCTGACATCTGTAGCAACAATCACCGCGTTTCAACCTTTGGAGGAGATCAGATTACTTTTGGTGTCTTCTCCTGCCTTACCCAACATTCCTCTGCCTTCCTCTGCTTTCATCTACATTTTCCTTCTTCCTTCAACATTCCTTTGCCTTTCCCTGCCTTTCCCGCCATTCCCCAACATTTCTCTACCTAACTCTTCCTTCCCCTACCTTCCTCTTCCTTCCCCCTACCTTCCTCTGCCTTCCTCCCCTTCTCCTATGTTCCCCCTCCCCACCATCTTCTCTTCCTTCTTCCTTTCCTTTCTCCCTCTCCCTTCCCCACTCGCTTCCTCCATATCTTTTTCCCTTCCCTCTCCCTTTTCCCCCTTCTCCTTCCACCTATTTCATTCTATCTTCCTCTCCCTTTTCCCCTTTTCTTTCCTTCTCTTTTCTCCTTACTTTCCTTCCCTTTCATCCCTCCCTTCATCTCTTTTTTGCTACTTCCTCTCCCTTCCTCCTTTCTTCCTCCTTCCTCTCCCTTCTTCCCTTTCTTTCCTTCATTCCTCTCCTGCCTCCTCTTTCCACCTCTCCCTATTTCTCCCCTTCACCTCTCTATCCCTCTCCTCCTCTATCCACTCCCCTCTCTATCCCTCTCCTCTTCTATCCCCTCCCCTCACTACCCCCCCTCTTATCTCCCTTCCCTCTCTATCCCTTCCCCTCTCTGTCCCTCCCACTTTTCCATGGTGAAGGCTACGTCTGCTTCTTCTATCCTGACCTACGATCCTGACCTACGATCCTGACCTACGATCCTGACCTACGATCCTGACCTACGATCCTGGGGGCCGAATACTCAAAATTATTTATAATACTGTATCTCCCCAATAGCCGCCATCTTGTGACGTCACTTATTATATCCGGAGTCCGTAACCTACAGGACCTTGGGAGCTCCTGTAACGGAATAAACCCCGGACATAGTGTGGTTATTTCCGCATTACATAAACAGTATAAACCTACGATAAACCTCACTAAAGCTGTTTTAACAGAGAATACAGTACTGCAGAAAATAAGTTTCATATATTATTTCAAAGGAAAATAATATTAAGATGAAATTTAATCCGTTAAAAATGATCTTCTAAACTGCAGCTGTGTTTGTATATGTTTAACAGGCAAGATGGAGGTGATCCATTGAGCTTTGGGATGAGAAAGGAAGTACGTTACCGAGACCCTTTGGACCTCACATAACGAAGAGGTCATACTATGTGCCGTCTCACAGCCAACTATTATTATTATTATTATTATTATTATTATTATTATTATTGTTACTTGTATTCTTCATAATATTCTTTACTTTTCTTGATTCGTTAAGGACCGTCTATGCATTTTATTTATTTTTTATTGTAAATTGTACTTATTTTCTATTTTAAATTTAGTTATACATTAATATTTTTGTTTTGTTTGTGGAATATAAATAAGTAGTGTAAATAAAACCCTTGAGCTGTTTGTTTCTTCCCAGTCGTCCTTAAATCAGTGAAGTTCCTCCGACCTTCACCGTTATCTCTTGGTACTCCAGCCATTAAGTTCACCGCACTTAAGGATGAGTCCCAAGCGTTAAGTGTTTTTTTATTTTATTTTTTTTGAGGCGTTTTGTCGTCCAATTTCCCCACGAAAATTCCTTTCTGCTTTTTCACCTCTTCCAGCATAGCTAAGACCTCTTCATCTGTAAATTCTTTCGTCTTGTGGCATCATCTTAAAATTCTTTTGTTTATAAATCTCGCGCCTTCAAGCCAGATGATATCTTTAGCTTATTATTGGTCAGTATGTTTTGAAAGCTTATCTGTGATTGGTCAACTGGGCCGCAGAAAGAGTTACTCTCCGTTGTTTACATTTGAGTTACAATACTCTTACGACAGCGTGAAATAGTTTTGAGTATAAGTGATTTACTTTATTGTCAGCAGTTTGTAAGTTGGTATACCGTAAGTCGGGTACAGGATCACCGAGTGTCCGGCCCCGACACTATACTGACGATTTTCCGACGGTCTGAGATGAGATAACGGAGACCGACGGAGCTCTGAGATTAATTTGTGAAGTACGTCAGGTTGGAGACCAAGGAGGTAGAGGTCAGAGTGAAGGCAGAATGAGTGCCACATTGTAGACTAACTGGGTTAGTGGTGGGCAGGAGGGAGAGGGAAGGTGAAGAGAAGGGAAGGCGAGGAGGTCGGAAGGGAAGGCGAGGGGGGGAGGGAAGGCGAGGAGGTCGGAAGGGAAGGCGAGGGGGGGAGAAGAGCGAAAGAAGAAGGAAGGGAGGAGTCAGTGCACCAGGTCAACACAGATGATGGGGAGAGAGAAACAACAGGTAATGGGACTAATGACCTCAGGTAACAAGAAAACAATAAGACACTTGACACACGCGGACGGACACATTTGGACATACTCTGGGAAGACACAAGAGGACACTAGAGGACACAATGGGACACCAGAGGACACAAGGGGACACTAGAGGACACATGGGGACACCAGGGGACACAAAGGGACACCAGGAGACAAAAAGGGACACAAGGGGACACAAGAGGACACAAGAGGACACCAGGGGGCACAGGGGGACACACGGGGACACCAGGGGACACACGGGGACACCAAAGGACACAAGGGGACACACGGGGACACCAGGGGACACATATGGACACAGGGGACACCCAGGGAACAAAGGGGGACACAGAAGAGGACACCAAGGGGGACACATGGGGACACCAGGGGTTCCTAAAGGGACACCCAGGAGACACATGGGGACACCAGGAGACACATGGGGCACCAGGGGGGACACGGGGGACACCAGGACACCTGGGGGACACATGGGGACACAAGGGGACACCAGAGGAGCCTGGGAGACACATAGGGATAAGAGACTGAGAGGGACACCAGGGGACCTGAGGACTGGGGAGACACCAGGGGACACATGGGGGACACAGGAGAGGGACACAAGAGGAGGACACCAGGGGACACAAGGGGACACATGGGGGACACCAGGGCCACCAGGGGACACATGGGGACCTGGAAGAGGACACAAGGGACACAAGGGGGACACCCAGGAGACACCAGGAGACACATGGGGGACACCAGGAACACAAGGGGACACAAGGGGGACACCAGGGACACATGGGGACACAGGGGACACCAGGGCACCAAAGGACTGACACTAAAGGGACACACAGGGGGACACCAGAGGACACATGGGGACACCAGGGACACCAGGGACACAAGGGGACACAAGGGGGACACAAGGGGACCTCAGGAGACCTGGGGGACACAGAGGACACCAGGGGACACATGGGGACACAAGAGGACACAAGAGGACACCAGGGGGCACAGGGGAACACACGGGGATACCAGGAAATACCAGGGGACACAAGGGGACACCAAAGGACGCTAAGGGACACAATGGGACACCAGGGGACACACGGGGACAAGAGACAAAAAGGGACACATGGGGACACAAGAGGACACAAGAGGACACCAGGGGGCACAGGGGGACACACGGGGACACCAGGGGACACACGGGGACACCAAAGGACACAAGGGGACACACGGGGACACCAGGGGACACATATGGACACAGGGGGACGCTCGTTGAGAATAACACAGTATGGATATTATTTTACCTGTACCTGTAATTCATTAACTGTAATACTGCAGTTAATTATGCTAGTACTTTACACTTAATCCCTTGAGTACGATAACTGAACCCCATGAGTCCAGTGTTAGAGTACTTGAGGAGATTAGCTATCGTATTCAAAGGGATAATATATTGTACATAAGGGATTACATTTTGTACTCAAGGGGGTAAAGTCATCGTACTCTGGGGTGAAGCTAACGTACTCAATGGGTTTAGTCATCGTACTCTGGGGTGCCGATATCGTACTCAAGGGGTTTAGTCATCGTACTCTGGGGTGCCGATATCGTACTCAAGAGGTTAAGTCATCGTACTCTGGAGTGAAGATATCGTCACTTAATGAGGGGATTTATAGTACTCAGGAAAAAGACATTGTACTCAAGGGGTTAAATCTGTACTTATATCGACATAGTTAAGGATAATGGTAATTGTACAGTGCCAAGTACGACACTGGTCTTCTGGCCCTTCACACTCCCTCCATCAAAGCAAAACAAACCGTCACTGATTGATACCAGATTTTAGCAGTAACAGCTATTTTTACTATGATTCTTCTGCCAGATTTTAGGAGAACCTCATCTTTTACTTTTAAGTCTTTTCGGACAGACTTTAATAACAACAACTTTTTTCGACAATGTTTTAGTAGGAATACGTATTTTTACTTTTTCTGCTTGATTTTAATAGGATTTTTTTTTTTAATTTCATAACAGGAACGGCTATTTCTGGGGGGTTTTTCAGCCATGTTTAGCCGTTACCTACTAACACCGGACACAGTTAGCGATAGTTTATTTGTGATCCAACCATTGGTGAACTCGCCTCTCTGGAGCGATATTGATTAGCTGAAGCAAAACGTGTATGTGTGTAGGGAACATTTTCACTTTTTCTGTTACGTGTGTAGGAGGATCGCCACAAACGTACATACATACATGGAATGCTATAGATAGATAGATAGATAGATAGATACGTCTCCCGGGGACAGCCAGCCAAGACGAGACTGGTGGTGGTGTGAGACGGTCGACGCCTCACCGTGTACAGTAATATATGAATGATGCATATATCTCACAGCAAGTTGACGAAAACTACAATTTTCCTCGAGTTTCTTCCATTATTGACTCCATCTATCATAGCTCCATTACCCGACGAGTCTTATGGGCGAGAATACGTGTGTTCGAGCGGCCGGAGACTCGACCTTACGGCTGGGTGTGGGATGGTTATGTCCTGGCCCGATGGAAAGAGTTATCAGGAAGGCAGACCCGCGCCACCAAACGTTTCAATAAACATGGAAATGAAAAATGTTTGCTCATGCATGAGTTGGTCGGCGGAGCGCTCCAAAAATGTATTGTTGGGGAATATCACTATGTCACTCTCTAACTTATAACTATTATGTCATGGAAATGTGAAGCCCTTTGTCATTTTAAAATATTAATACTTTCACCGTACTCAAAATAGGGTTTTTTTTTCGAAAGTTTATTCAGTGTGTTTTTTACTTTTTTTTTCGTTTATTTTTGTATAGCTTTTGGGAACGTTGATTTTTTATATTTATTTATTTATTTCATTAACTTTTTTGGGGGTTGTTGTGTTGATCTTTCTGTTTCTGATGTTAGTTATGAATAAATTCCCAAACTTGTTTTTAAATGAATAAATCATATATAAAATTGTTAATGTGTTTATAAATAAGGTTTACAAATATATGAAAAATTCCCTCCCTCCCTCCCTCCCTCACATCCACTCTACTTCCCTTCCTCTCTCACACACTCTGTTTTCCTCCCTCTTTCCCTACTCCACACCCTCCCTAACACACCCTCCCTCCCTCACACCCCCCCTCTTCCCCACCTCACACCCCATTCCTTCCTCTCCATCCCTTCTCCTTCCCTCCTCCCTCTCTCACACCCTCCACGCCTCCACCCTAACTCTCCTCTTCTCTCTCCCCACCTCCCTCATCCTTCCCTCTCCTTTCCCTGCTCCTCACACCCTCCCCCTCCCTGCTCCCCCTCACACCCTCCCTCCCCTGCTCCCCCTCTCATTCACTCTCTCCCCCTCACCACTCCTCCATGTTAGACTGTACATGCCTCTAGTGCTGCTGTAGACACGTCAAAACATATGTCAGAATCAGCTGATGTTTGAACACCTCTAGCGCGAGTCTCTATGTTGCTTACGGGAGATGATGCATACGTAATGGGGCCTCATCTCCCTGTTGATGGTGGTGATGATGCCGGTGGTGATGATGGTGGTGTTGGTGATGTTGGAGGAGAGATTATGTTGATGATAGAAGACACACATCGACCCTACATAATAATTCTGGCTCTACCTACCTCACCATCTTGTTTACCATGGGCCGTGGGACTGTCTGGGGGCTCTGACAATCTGAGAGAATTTATGATGTATAGTGCCAGGGTATTACTATGGAAATATTTTACCATATTCTCGTGGGTACTTCCTGGATGAGCGCCAAGAATATGTGTGGGTTTATAGGAAGCAGTTTCTTAGTTAGTGATTATAGATTGTATTATTATTATTATTATTATTATTATTATTATTATTATTATTATTATTATTATTATTATTATTATTACAAATTAAAAGTTTTTTGGGAGATCAGACAAGTGTCGTTGTAAGTGACCTAGTCGTCTTAATCAGTTTATTATAGGTGTTGGTATATAAGTCTCTCTCTCTCTCTCTCTCTCTCTCTCTCTCTCTCTCTCTCTCTCGTTGCTCAGGATGAACAAAACACAAGTCTTAAATCGTCCTGATGTGCTCGACCTGCCTGAGACATTATCAGAACCACGATTGACTTACTAACAACGGCTGAAAGACTTAAGTTAACCAGGGATATTAAAGTGATATTTTGACCTTTAGCCAAGAGAGACAAAAAGTCCATAACCCAAACTCCCATAAGTTCGTGTTGTAGTAGAGTTGCGGATTATTGACATTATTATGCTTAAGACAGTTTTTAATTCCTTCTCGTAATCAACTTAAGGGTGAAAAAAAAATCCATCCTAAGTTCCTCCCGAGAGCCATCTTGAGGGGAGGAGTGTTAGAGGCGCTCCACTACTGACAACAAGTTAAGGTGTTTGAGGATCGTCGTTAGCGGGGTGGCGATGAGCAGTGTGTTGATTGTCGCACAGAAAATACTCTACATTGTGTGTTGGTGTGAAGGAGGTGCTCAACGCGCTCCATCCTGAGACATTCTTGGAAATTCTTCGACTCCCTGATGCCCCTTGACTGTATGATTAATCTAATCTATACCTTATCCTTAGGACACATAAGCAGGTACCGAGAATCAACGTTGTCAACACAGGCAGGAAGGAAGGAGGGAGGAGATTTGTTCCACCCACGTTGCCTCCCTCAAGTGTGTCAGTACTAGATGGAGAGAGGGGAGTGGGAGGAGGGGAAGGGAGTGGGCGGAGGGGAGGGGAGAGGAGAGGGAAGTGCCAGCCGTTGTTGATTGCTCGTACTGGCGCTGTTATGAGAGTGTGCCGTCTAGTGCTTGCTGTAAGACGCTTATATGATGTTTTTCCTCGAGTAACACGGAGGTTGAAAAGAGGGAGGGGAGGGGGAGTGGGGGAGAGAAGTGTGGTATATTAAACTACCTGTCACCACCTGATCTCTCCTCCTTCCCCCCCTCCCCTCACCCCCCTTCCCTCTGGGTGTACATGGTGGCTAGGTGGTGATGTTTTGCCTTAGTGAAATTAATGTAAGTGTATTGAGTTATTATTATTAATTATTATTATTATTATTATTATTATTATTATTATTATTATTATGATGATGATGATGATGATGATGATATCTCGTCTGCACTAATTTAAATTTGTTTTAGAACTCTCTCTCTCTCTCTCTCTCTCTCTAAGGTATCCCAAAAATGCCCTCACCACCTCCCCAAGACGGCAACACTACCCGGCGTAAGGTTATCAGGTTGTCAATTAAGTCTTTTAATTACATCGGCTTGGGTCGTCACAGTCAGTGGTGCATCAGAGACCTGCGCGGCGACACCTGACCCTACCTGTTTCTCATTACTCTCACGACACATTTTTCTAAAGACTTGTCGCTTCTCTGCAGTCTTTTGTCCTGTTGTTGTTGTTGTTGTTGTTGTCGTGTTTTTGTTATCGTGTTGTTGTTGTCGTGTTGTGTTTTTGTTGTCGTTGTCGTCGTGTTGTTGTTTTTTTCTGTTAATTGCATTCATTAGGATGTTGTGAAATTCATCTCTCTCTCTCTCTCTCTCTCTCTCTCTCTCTCTCTCTCTCTCCAAAAGTAGGAGGGAAAGACAGACACAGACAGGCAAACAAGGCAAACATACATACATACATACACACATACATACATACCTACATACATACATACATAAATACATACATACATACATGACAGACAGACAGACAGACAGACAGACAGACAGCTAAAAGACAAAAAGCAAAGCAGACTGACAGGCAAAGACAAAGAGATAGACAAGAAGACAGACTGATAGACAGTAGTTTAAAAATGGGAGAGTAA